AAAAATGAAATATAAAAATTTCACGAGGTATTTCTTACACAAAGACCAGCATGGCATCCCAAAGGTAAAGAAATGCAGGCAGAGGACCAAATATTTCAAAAAGGTATGCATAATCGCCACCAGATTTTGGAATAGAGGTGCCAAGTTCTGCATAACACAAGGCACCCACCATGGACATCAGCCCACACATAGCCCATACTGCTAGTGAGAAACCAACTGATCCTGCTCCCTTTATAACACCACCAGGGGTCATAAAGATACCTATAGATCAGAAAGGTGAAACCAATTTAATTTTATTCTCACTGTGATATTTTGAATTCTAGGACTGATGTATTATGAATTGCTCATTATGGAGGATAGTTTACCTGAACCAAAGATGATTCCTAAGATAATAGCAACACCTTCTAGTAATCCTAGTTGTTTCTTCATTTGAACTTTATCACCCTCCCAACTAGCCTTATTTTCATCTTTAGGTGTGACGAGTGTTGAAGTAACGGAGCCATCTTGACCTCCACTGCCCCCTGCCATTGTCACTGAAAACAAAATGTTAATAGAAAAGAGGATTTAAGTTAATCGCCTTCATACGGCTGTATCACCTTAAGAGAAATAACAGATAACAGCAGATAACAAATAACAGATAGCAGATCCATCTTACACAGGTTTCTCTTGCTCTCTGTCGATTCAAAAATGTTTCAATGAACATATTTTGCAATAAATGCTACTTTAGTGGAATAAACCATGATCAAACAGCATGAATTACCTTCCTGAAATGGATCTGTTATCTGTTATCTGTTATTTCTCTTAAGGTGATACAGCCACAATGGAATTGGGTTTTATTGATAATTTTACGAGGACATTAAGTAAATCATTTCCACATTCAAAACACCAAAACATTATTGGTTAAATGTAAGAAAATGTGACAAATTTAAATTATTAGACTCTGTGTACAACAAAAATTCTACTGCACAAGAGCTCAGATGATTCTGAATTCTATCACCTACTCCTACTGTATACGAACCTCCATCAATATCAATATTCCTCTCATAAAATCCACTAAATAGTTTTGTTCTTAGCACAATTTTAAAAAATATCTCAAAAGTGTTATCCAATTATGTACGCTGATGATGCTAATATCATCATCACTGGAATTAATCTGGCTGATGTTAGAGATAAAACTTTAAAAATACTTGAAGGAGCCACTAAATTCCTTAGTAGTCTAAACTTGATTGTCAACCTTAAAAAAACCTGTGTAATGTTATTCCAGTTAAGGGACACCCCTGAAAAACTAAATCTAACTGTTGGAGATCTTAGCATAGCTGAAGAAAGTACTACTGTCTTTCTTGGACTGACTGTCGATAACCGGCTTTCCTGGAGAGCGCATCTGGATGTAATTGTAAGTAAGCTGAGGAAGAGCGTGTATGTCATTAGACAGATATCCCAAGTGGTGGATCACCACACTCTTCTTCTAGTTTACTACGCGTTTGTATTTCCTATTCTCTCGTATGGTATCTCAATATGGGGTGGCTATGCCACTAAAAGTGACCTGAACAAGTATGTTTAGTACACAAAAAAATGCAGTGAGGATACTGTCAAATTTGCCAGCTTTTGCATCCTGTAGAGGATACTTCATAAAAAAATAGACTCCTAACGGTCCATGCACTATATGTATATAGATGCATCATCTTTACTCTGGCAAATCCAAAACACACAAGGCTGGTAAATTCCATACATGAGTACCCTACGCGAAATAATAAAAATATGCATATAGAACGCTCAAAGTCAAACGTGGTAAAAGTTAATCCCTCCCACATGGGAGCGATTTTCTTTAATAAATTGCCAGATGCACTCAAGGATGCCGTATCATTAAAATGTTTCCAATGTAGATTAAAAAATTATCTAATTGAAAGGGAACTGTACAGTTGGGAGGAGTTATGAGTTGCTCCTCATGTCACAAATGTCAAATGTTGCTCTGAAGTGCCTGTTATTGCCCCCTCTCCTATCTGACTTATGCAATTGTGACCGCCATCTTTGCACAAATAAATACAAATACAAATAAAATACAAACTTTCTTCGCAGGCAATTCATCATCTTCAGGCGCCGGAGCAACTGCTTCCACATGGCTAGGCCCAGCCGCAATATTGTCCAGCCAGTCGAAGTTGTCTACAACCTCTTCCACAGCAGCTTCATCAACAAACCTTTCGCCACGGAGAGCAAGCTTTACCATTTCAGTACCTAAAACAAATAAAAACAAAATAAGGAGAAATTTTAATAACATCAGAACTATAATTAAAATACTTAATACTTACTGAATGGATGGATGCACACATCGAAAGCATTGCCATCGAGCCCTTTGAAGATGAGGAAGGGTGGCCGTCTGGCTGTGATATCTTCTGCATATTGAGCAAAATTGCCCACCCCAATTTTACCCACTATGCGGCTTGGGAGGATGACAAAGAACATTTTCTTGTCCACATCACGTAGATGAATTTGGTACCCCTGACCATATTCTGCATGGGGAGGTAGCGATGCCACCTTAGTGATCAGGTAGGGCACATCTTTTGAGAGGGATGGAATACGCCTACGCTGCACCAACTCTCGGTTAACATTGAATGCAGCACTATATGCCCTCTTCCTACTCTCATCATCAGCCATCTGCAAAGACACAATTTCATGAACATCTTAAAATCAAAAATTAATAATGGTGAATTAAGTCTTGCAATGAATTGCCACATGCCAATGCCCCTCAGTTAAGGCAGTTTACCTCAATGTTTCAGTCTTAAACTTAAAACCTCTGAGATCAGCTGCTTCAGATAAAGCACATGGTAGGAATATAAAACTCACAAGACTCAATCCATCAATAAACCGCTATAACTGATAACAAATCACACACACTACTACACAGCCAAACATGCAGTTCAACAACGTGAAATAACTTGAGAACTAAAACTACTGGTGAATTTAGTCTCCTGTGACCCGTGCCTCAAGCAAAATGAATCGACCTCGCTGAGACCGTTGGTCTCACAGGGTTATAGCCACTCACAGTCCTCAAAAACTCTGAAACCAGCGATCTCAGTGAGGCTGCCTCACCGTGAGGCACGGGTCACACAAGACTAAATCCACCATTAATCAAGCAAGCAATGCACCTTACCACAGATGAGGCCAACACACCTCAATTGAGCCCAAAACAACGTGAGGAAAACATGCCTTGCTTTACTTAACCTACACACCTAGTTGTACAACACGTGTCACCCTCAGAGGTTAGAAAACCAACAGAAAATAGCACACCAATTTGCAAAAAACGTGCTCAAATGGATAACTGGCAACCAATACATATTAGATTGTGGGTAAAACGTGCAATAGACTGCTGGAGATGAACTCCTTTTCCACACGTACATTTCCAATTCTAACACAATGACGAACACAGACAAAGAGATTGATAAAATATAGAGGATTGACATGCATTCACAATACAGTTTACACACAATAATTTAGTACCACATACCTTGGAACTTTCCGACGCCACAAGATAAATGTTGAATGTGAAGAAAGAATGAGGAGGATCCGACTGCCGACTACATTTATATGGCTACAAAACATCACGTGACGCCACTGCTACCACACGCACATTTACCCCACACAATTAAAATTTCAAAAATCGAAATAAATATGTCAAAAAACATATAATTAAACTCGAAAAAATCTGCTTTATTCTTTTAAACATAAAAATTACAGCTTATAAACCAAAAAATAATCTAAATACCACATTAACATAAGACCAAATAACTGTAAAGATGGTAGCATTGACACTGGCAGTAGACTCTCTCTCTCTCTCTCTCTACCAAACATAACACAAAACAGCTGATCAACATGACTTCCCTACCATAGAACAGAAAAAAAAAAAAATCAGTACTTTCAACACATAAATTTTCCTCGCCAAATTTATAAACTTCGTAGTCATAGTGCTACTTAGCCCTTTGGCCATGTTAATTTGCAATGTACCTACAAAACTCCCACAGCAATTTTTTTTAGTGGCGCTCAAA